TACACACATACAAGGGTGGGCAAAAGTAGGTTTACAGTTGTGAGTATGCAAACCAGTTTATTCTTGTATTATTATTTATTAATTATTGTATTATTTTCCATATGAACAACTGTAAACTTACTTTTAACCACCCCATCTGTGTGTGTGTGTGTGTGTGTGTGTGTTTATAGAGAGTTGTGAAATATCTCACTTTTAATTTGTATTTTTTTATTACAAATGAGATTGAGCATCTTATTAGTTTGTTGGTCAGTCTGTTTTCTTCTGAGAAAATCTGGTTCTTATCCTTTGATTATTATAATACTGTAGCTATTTGTCTTTGTCTTACTGACTTCCAGGGCCTTTAAAGCTCTTCCCGATGCTAGCCCACTGTTCTTTACTTGGGAAGCAGGTATCTTCTCCCAGTCTGTGACATGATTTTTCACTTTCTTTCTCACACATATTTTTCAAGCAGAACTTTTAAATTTCAGTTTATCCAGTTTGTCAGTCTTTTTGTTTATAATTTGTACTTTTTGCATCCTTTCAAAAAGTGAAACTATCCTTCCCAACCATGGAAATATCATAAAGGTACAGTCGATCCTTATTATTCACAGATTTTGTATTTGCAACTTCACCTACTCCCTAAAATTTATTTATAACCTAAGATCAGTATTTATGGTGGCCGTGTGCAAAGCAGTGAACACTTTGAGTCACATATGTTCCAGCTGAGGTTGAACAAAGCGACGACCTGCCTTCTTGTTCCAGCTCTCATGCTGTAAACAAACGTCCTTAGAGTCTATTTAGTGCCACATTTTTGGTTTTGGGGTGTTTTTTTTTTCATTTTTGTGCTTTTTGTTGGTAATTTTGGTTCATAATGGCCTCCAAATGTAGTGCTGAAGTGCTGTCTAGTGTCCCTAAGTGCAAGAAAGTGGTGAGGTGCCTTACAAAGAAAATAACATGTGTTAGATAAACTTCAGGAGTGAGTTATAGTGTTGCTGGCCCTGAGTTCAGTGTTAATAAATCAACAATATATATTAAATGAGGTGTTTTTCAACAGAAACACACATTAAACAAGGTTATGTTGTTGATCGGTTGACAGAAATGTGACCAGAGGCTCAGAGGGACCAAACCCTGTATTTTCCATAGGAACAATTTGCAAATTCAGTGGTCACAGTGATTATACAGAACATAACTATTGCAAGTAACGAGAATCAACTATGTTCTCCAAAAAGTTTAAAAACTTAGCTTTTCAAGACCATTTAGCTCTTCCATCCACTGGAAAGTTGGGGGAGGGGGTGATGTAGAAGCAGCATTTATTGAATTGTTCATTTTTCCCCACTAATTTGAAATGCCACCTCTGTCATATAGTAAGTTCTATTTCTAGGCTCTCTCTCTTATGATCCAATGGTCTCTTGGTCTATCATCTCACAAATACCTCATGTGTAAATATTGCAGCTTATAATAGTCTTTTTTTTAAATTTATTTTTTTAAATTTATCATTATTGTT